AATTCTTACCCTCATGGGTCTCTTACTGAATAGGGGTGTTAACCTAGTACTTTTTTACACCTTATGCTGTGAGCCACACAAATGTTGATCAGTTTAGTGTTAGCTTGGGGGAGCAGTCACACCTTAAGGCTAAAAACCTTCTCTGACTGTCCTCCACCTGCACAACAATGATTTTCCACTAGAGACTTGGTGAGCCAGGACAGGCTCCTATGCCTACTGTATGAGCAGGGGTGTAAGAGGGACTAGGGGGGAGGTGGAGAATGGAAATGTTATTGTCAATGTCACCTGCCTCCCATGGAGCCCAGTGTGGGCATGGGCAGAATGCCAGTGGCTCTCCATGACAAAAGATTGCAAGCCACCGCAGCTGCCGGGGCTGCTAAATGTTCCCACATACCATAGCATGGTACTGGCTCTGTTGCATGACCCAGGGAGGCTCTGATGGCTCCATCACTGCCTGGCCCGGGATCATTGCACTACAGTGTCCTGCTGGTTTTCTCTTAGCAATGTCTGCTGCCTCGCCTGGTGTGCGTGTGTGTGGGGGTGAGTGTTTTTGGGGGTCAGTGCGGGTGTGTACACGTGTGGGGAGTGTGTGTCTACACATGCTTTTGCCGATCAGTACGTGGGGAAGGTGTGTGCACATGTCTGTGTGTGTGTGCGTGTGTGTGTTTGGGGGTCAGTGCAGGGGCATATGTGTGTGTAGACACGTGTGGGGAGTGTACATCTACACCTAGTTTTGCGGCTCTGTGTGGGGAGGGTGTGTGCACGCGTGTATGTGTGTTTGGGGCTCAGTGCAGGGGGAGGTGTGTGTCCACGTATTTTTGCGCCACAGTGTGTGGGGAGGGTGGGTGTACCTGTGTTTGGGGGTGGGTGCTGGCAGGGTGCTTGTGTGTGGATGTGTGTTCGGTTTTGGTGCAGGGAAGTATGCATATATGTGTGTTTGCAGTTTGTGCAGCGGGGTGTGTGTAAATGTGTGCTTGTGGGGTTGTGTGTGTGCCCATGTGTTTGGAAGTTGGTACCAGGGTTGCATGTGTACACCTGCGTGGGGGTGTCAGTGTGGGGGGGATGTGTGTAATCATGCACCTGGGGGTTTATGCATATGGGGAGTGTGCGTGTACACAGGTGTTTAGGGGTTAGTATTGGTGGGTGCATGTGTGTACACCTGTGTGTTGTGGGTTGCTGTTGGGGGGGGTGTGTGTGGTAGGTGTGCGCTTGTGGCTTCATGCACCGGGGTGTATGTGCATTGGGGAGGTGGTGTGTCTATTAGGGGGGGTTAGTGCAGGTGTGTGGGGGTGTATCTGTGCTCTGAACTCCACTTGGAGCCCAGTTCTGTTCCTGTTCTCATTGGGTTTCGCTTATCTGTGCTTGTACAGCAGTGCTGCCTGCTTGCCCCCAGCCCCTTGAGAACAGAAACTAGTTGTGCTTTTATGTGAGTGTGGACACATGTGCATGTGTGTGTATGGAGAAGTGACAACTGGAAGAAATTTCCCGCCCCTCTCTCACTGCATGAAGTCTATCTGGCTCTTACTTAGCAAGTTGTACCCCATGTTTCTTTTCTTGTGTAGTGTCAGAAAAGCAGTGTCGCTCATCAATGGGACAGACATGGGCAAGTTCCCTCGCCTGCTCTCTCGCATCCTCCAGAAGCTTCACCTCAAGGTGTGTAGAGCACAACTCTAGTATATGCTTAGCACTTTCTTTTTAAATAACCTTTCAGATTCTCTAGCATTCACACTGTCCCCATATCAAGGTATACTCTGCGTTTCCTGTCTTAAGATGCTGTGTGCTGAGGTCTTTGCATTTCTCCTGACACTTAAAATGCAAGTTGTTCCTGGGCAGAGAAGAAAAGTCCACCCCACATATAACAACGTGTTAAGTGTCAGCAGTTAGTAGCGTGGTTTTGATGAAGGAAATACTGTGTGAGAAAAGAGCACATTTTTGTGATTTTTAAAATGCACATGCAAGATAAACCCTAAAGATAAAGCACAATTTTGTATGTGTTGTCTCAGGGAATTGCTAGGCACAATGGGATCCTTTAGAGCTGGTATTTTTTATTGAGATGCAAGTATTACAAAGTGTAACTCGTGCCAAAAAATCCTATAAAACTTTAATTTGGATGTAGCTGCTATAACTTCAGGCAAGGTTGTGGGATGAGGGCCTTAGCAAATCATGCCAGTTTACTGACCTCTCTGTAACTGTGTGAAATGTCATGAATTTAACCCTCAAAATCTACCAATTTTTGGAGAAGCAATCATTAGAGAATGTGATATTGATTAGTTTTGTAGTATGGTATTTGCAGAAGCTCTTCTGAATTTTACACAAGATGTCAGGATGATTGTTACTGTTCCATTCCATGTCACAGAGGTCATGCTATTTTTTTTTATTTGACAAGTGTCAGCTTGTTTCTTCAATGTGTAAGAATTATGAAGCAAAGATGAACAATTCTGACCCTTTTCTCTTCCACCTTTGAAATACAATATGAAAGATTGTTGTCAAACAAGAGACATGAAAGCAGCAAATGGAATGTCAGTTTCAAATCACAATTTCATACTTGTATGAACACAGAATTGTTAAAATTGAAGGGACTTTAAAAATCTGTCTCTGAGCTTTCTTCCTCATGAAGAAATGTCACAGGGGCTAAGTACAGACAGTCAAAATGCCCAAGGCTGAATCAGTTCAGTCTTTGCATATTAGTCTAAGTTGTGTAGATTGAACTGATAAGCGAGTGACCTGACGGTCACTCTTGATTGCAGAACCACAGCTACATGCCTGCAGTGGCTCAGGCCAGAAGCTGGGGGGTGCTAGAGTACTCCCTGCTTAGTTGAAGCAGAGAGCTTGGGCCAAGGCTAACCTGCCTACCCTGTGAAGTGCAGGGGGAGGGGTTTGCAGGTGAGATGCAAAGCATTCTGAGATGCTGGGGGATTTCTAGTTGACTTGAATCTAGAGGAGACCTAGGGCATAAGTTCAGTAAGCCTAATCTAAATCATTTGAGTCTGATACTACATCCATCCAGGTTTTCTTAAACTAGTCTCAGCCATTTTGAAAGCAGTTTATGTGCACTGAACTTCTGTTGTGTTACAGATTTGAACCGGTTTCCAATCATTTATACCAGTTTGTGTAATTTCTGTCCCTAGCCAAGATGAAACTTTCAATTTCCCTGGAATGCTCTTTCTGGAATACCTTAGTCTTGTGCATAACTTGCTCTTGCATCTGTAAGCAAACACCGTAAGATTCCAACATGTGGATTTTGGGGGCTTTCTGAGAAGTAAGAAGCCTTCTCAGTCCTAGCCTTCTGCTTCCTCTGGGGTTCTTAAGATCTTATAGATCCTGCCATTGTTTCACAGGTTTGCTAGATAGATTTGAGTGAATATGGGTTCAGCTTCCCCTGCCTCCTTGTTAACTTGCAGATAGGGAACATTATGAAACTTCCACAAACAGGTCTTTTTCCCTCAAGAAAGAAGGGTGGGGAGGTCAGACAATGCAATAGGTTCTCCAAAGCTGCTTCTAGGTTTATAGATGAGCATAAACACCATAGGGTATTATTTCATTTCTCTTTGCTTGAATCATGAAAATAGAATAAGTATATGGGTTTACTTTTGATTATATTCTGGCGCTGGTCAGGTTAACTTTCTAGCATTTACACATCTAAAATTGCTGCGTTAGGAAATTTGAGGGAAATGTTTAAATTCAGAATTGCAAGTTTCTTCTGAAGTCCACAATTTTCTTTTGATCCTATGTTAGGTTTTTGACAAAAAAAAAGTAGGGGTGTACCAATAGAGATTTTGGGGGATGATCCCAATAGCCGATTTTTAAAGAGGCATATTGGCTGATACAATCTGATTTCCGATACAGCTGCGTCCAGCTGGTAAGTCTGTTGTGGTGGAAGGGGAAGAGGGAGGGAAGGGGCATGGGAGGGCAGATCAATGTCCCCTGCAGTGAGGGAGGGAGGGAGTGGGGCTGGGGCAGGTGCAGACGCTGCCCAGCTGGGTGGGGTGGGGCGCAGGACGGAGCTGCGGCTTGTCTGGTGGGGTCCCGCTGCTATGCACACCCTGGGAGGTCATGGTGAGGGTGTCCCCTGGATCTGCATGGGGCAGGATTGCCAGGCTGCCTTTGCGCGCTGGAGCTGGGACTGTGCTGGGCTCTTCTTGGCGGGGGCTGGGCTTGAGGCAGGTGGCGGCAGTGCTGGGAGGGGGTTATGGGGGGGCTGTAGCCACCCCAAATTTTGCTGTAGCTACCCCTCAACCCCCCCTCCCAGCACTGCTGCCACTTACTTGGCGAAGCCCGGCTCTTTCCGGAGTGTAGATGGAGGTGGGGGTTCAGCTGGGCCTTCGCTGGGTGGGTGGTGGTGGTGCTGGGAGGAGGGGTTGGGTGAAATTTGTGGTTGTTGCAGCCCCACCCCCAGCTCCCCCCCAACACTGCTATCACCTGCTCTGAGCCCAGCCCCCGCTGAGAAGAGCCTGGTGCAGCTCCAGCTCCCGCCTGTCCGCCCTGCACCTGTAGCCCACCCACCCTGCTCTGCGCAGATCCAAGGGGCACGTGCCTGCTCCCCTCCCCCTGGGCATTCCAGATGACCTGTGGCTCCATCCTGCGCCCTGCCTCACACTGGCTGGGCAGCCCCTGTCCCAGCCCCAGCCCCTGCCCCACTTCCTCTCTCACTGCAGGGGGGCGTTGATCTGCCCCACTGTGCCTCTTCCCTCCCCTCCCCTCTCCCCTTCCACCACAACAGATTTACCAGCTGCATACAACTCTCCAAGCTGCTGGGCTGTGCTCCTCGCTGCTTGGGTGCTGCGCTGCAGCTGCATGCACACGTGCACGCACGCACGGGCATTTATCCGCCAAATTATCAGCTGCATCAGGCTGATTTCTGATATAGCCTATTTTCTTTATATTGGTGCCAATTTGATATCGGACCAATGTATCGGTGCACTTCTAAAAAAAAGTTATGGTACAAAAAGTGCTTATGGGTATATGGTAGAAATAGGCTTTACTCTATTTGACTTGAACTATTTGGATCTGTGATTGTGTACTTCACAGGGAGAGAAGGAAGAGTGGTAATTTGTTTAACGAGATTACTAGCAGCATTTAATGGTAAGCTCGTTCTGACCACCAGTCCCATAGGCACATATTATACAGTCTTTTACAGTGTTTTCATTAGGGTTGTGTGAAGCGGGCCTTATTTGATTTGGATTTGGCCCAAATCAGGGGCAGTAATTCTGTTCATTGTTTTGGGTCACTGTTCCCGATTCGATTTGGCCAAATCCAGATCTGAAGATTTGATGCTGATTCAGAGATTCCACGATTTGGACACAGGCACAGCTTTAAATGATTTTTCTATATGCCTTGAGGTACCAGCGTAGCTTGTGAATACTACGATGATGGGGCAGATGGAACATCCCACAGGAGTGTGTGTGTGTGGGGGGGGGGTGTCCTCCATGTGCTTGGCGGCAAACCCATAAGTGGACCGGAAGTACTTCTGGGCCACTTCCAGGTCCTCTAGGGAGCATACTGGGGGGCCCCCCTGCATCCCCTCGGCTCAGCGATTGGCTGCAGAGGGACTCCAGTTGCCCCCCCAGACCCAGGAGGCACCAGTCACCAAGCCGGGAGGGTGCGGGGGACTCCCCGGCATGCTCGCTTGAGGACCCGTAAGTGGACTGGAAGTGCTTCTGGTCCACTTCCGGGTCTGCTGCCGAGTGTGTTCGGGACCGCCCTCACCGCCATGCTCCTGTGGGATGCTCCATGCGCCCCAGCATCGCCACATTCACTAGCCGCCTGCTACCTGGAGGTGTGTAGA